TTTGGGTATATTTATTACTCAATCTGGAATCGCAGTGGAAGACTTCCGCGACGATGCATCTACGTATATTTGAGCTTTGAGTTTCCTTTGTGTGTGTTCCATTTACCTTTGTGTGTGTGTGTGTGTTTGTGTTTGTGTTTGTGCGGGCAAAGAGAAATGCAGTCAACTGTCAAATGAGTGAACCGTGAGCCGAAGCAGGGGCACAGACAGCTAATTGTCATTTTCCGACAACAAAAGCGACAACTCAACTGCACTTCATTTCACCCAAAAGCAGGGGGGAACTGTTTTACGAGTTGTACGAGCTGTTCCAGTTAGGTTCGATAATTCATAGACGAGTAGTGCTACTAGCAGCCGTTAACCTGCTGCACTTGCTATGGGCAAAGGCTCCCCTCGCCATTTGAACCATTTCTCCCCCATTGTCTTTGTGCAGCCGAACCGAACAAACGCTCGATAGATAGTGAAAAGTGTTTCTAGAACGGAAGTTATTAAAATTGTTATTGTTTTTCCACCAGCAAGCTGGAACTTGAGCCAGTGCATTGACCACCATAACACATACGCACCGCCGTCCCATGCCACAGCTGGGGAGATGGTCCCCGACGCTCCGTGTCGGTGTTTCGGTTTCTCTGTGAGGTGGCTCTCTGGATGCTCTTTCTACAGCAGTTCTATGGCATTCAGGGAGTGCCCTTGTATTTATATGTTCACCTCAGTACTGGGGAGTGCATAAAATTCCATCTAGCAACGACCTAACCCAACTCTGGCATGCCACACAGCTCAACACTTTTCCACAGCCGAACGTTGGTCACTTCCGCTGCCCATTTGGGGCTTCCCTCTTGCTGGAATATTTACCGAGGGATTAGCTGACATTTTGTGCCTGAGGTCATTACTTGGGGTTGGGGGTTAGTGGGTCATTGGTTTATGGGGTCACATTTGAGGGGGCGGTGTGGTGGCTACAGCCGGATCATGCATTTAGTTAGCTGGTTAATGCCCCGTCGATTGGTGGTGGTGGCCTGCTTCTGCCTGCTTTTGGCTCGCGAAAATAATCGTAATAATGAATTTCACTTATGTTTCATGTCTGCGCGAAATTAAATGTAGCAAAAATGTTTATAGCATGTCGCCTGGCCGGCTGCTCGCCGCCTGTTGGCTGGCACTCTCTTTGTGCTCATTTTCTATTTTCTTTCTGGGCCACGCGAGGTAATAGTTAGCTGAAATTTTGTGACAAATGATGCTTTATTTTGCCCCTCTCTCGGGCGTGCCATGCCCAATAATTAAATGGAGTAAGCAGCCCGCCACCCCCCCTTTTCGGAAGGTGCCCTGAAAGTGGGTCACGTGTGCCCAATGTCCCTACCCCCCGCGCATCGAAGTAGTGCCACATTTGCATGAAAAATACGCCCCCAACATGCATATCTCTCAGTCAGTGCTCTCTGAAATTGCTCAGAAATTACTGCATATTATGGGGGGTGCAAGGAAAGCAATGCAAATGGTTGGTGCTCTTTATGTGTGAAGCGATTATGAAATTTGTTATGACTGGGTAGACACTCGTGTCGCGTTGAGTGGTGGTGTGCCACAGAGGTGCCATTGCAAGCGGAATTGCATCTCATGAATGCCAGAACAGTGAAAAATATCTAGGGAATGGCCACCAAACCCGGTTTTCGCCTGTTCTGTCGATCCCCCATTAAACTCCGATTCGGGCTGGCATTCCTCAACGTCATAAAATCAAAAGATCAAAGCTCTATAAAGTGTCTATAAAGTGTCAAAAATTGCTTGGCATACAAATCAACAAAAACCGATGGAACAATAGGCTGAAAACGTTTTCAATTTCATGCATGTGCCGCTTGTAAATCTATCGAATAAAATATGAATAACAATATGAGGAATTTTGGACCTTTGGCAGGCGGCGTCACTTGAGGCGTCAAGAAATCAAAGGGAATTTTTTCAATAATAAATTAAACCGGACAATGCCCAGTCGAGTTCTGGACAGCTTACTGACACGTTGAGGCCATCGAGATGGACTCCAAATGGAATCTCTCCGCTTGGCATTTTGCTGGGGAATGCCCAAATTTGGTGATCGGAGATGACACTTCCCTGCAGACCGACGACACGTACAAATGGCAACAGCAGCAGCACTCCTTCATTCAACATCGGGCTGACATTTTGCAGCTGTAGTTGAGGGTGCATTTTGCTATGCAAAATAAATATAATGAAAATGAACAAAAAGCGAGAGAAGTTTATTTACACGAAGATCTGTCGACTCAGCGACTCTCGTACGTACTCGTACATAAATCTTGCATCGAGTCTGCCCAAAATGATGGCAAGTGTCAAAAGTCAACAACCAAATGTCACGTTTTGTTGTTTTGTTTTTGGTGTATTTATTTCTGAGTTTCCCTCCCGCCTGTCACCCATCTTTAATAACGAAAAGAGAAGCACAAACAAATTCGCCGCCTCAGTAAGCAATTGACATTTATTAAACAACAAAAACGACAGACAGTCAGAGCTTTTGGAGGAGTGCAGCACTTGCCGGAATAAATGCACAAATTTGGTTACTTTTTCGGATGTTTGTGGTTGCTTTTTCTCTCGCTTGTCAAAATAAGACACTGGCCCATAAATTGACAAATTATTCCCATTAATTTCTCGACATTTTTATTGCCATTGCCGTCGCTTCTCCTCCGGCAGACTCTGCTCCTTCTCCTCACATCTGGGCATCTGATCATTAATTCCGAAGACCAGCAACGAAATTTGTGTTTAGTGCAACTCAATTACTTTGAGTGGCCAATTTTCCTCTCCTTCTGCTAGTATTATGTTTTGGGGGTCTGCCGACACTTGACGTAGAAATTTCAAAATGATGGCTTCATATTTTATGTGTGTTTAATGCGATGGGTCAGCGCGGAGCAAGCAGCTCTAGAGTGGGTTATATTATGCAATGGGGAGCAATAAAAAATGGTAACTAAATTACTGGTTTTTAAAGTTCACTGGGGGTAGACTTTCATTCGGACTGAGCTCCAGACGTAACGGTTTTAGTGGGTGACAACAGAACAGAGTCGCACTTTGGTTTATTTTTCTCATTGTCCGAAATCCTCACAAGTTGGGATTCAAATGTGATCTAATATTGAGTTGCTGTTTGGAGGTTTTCCAATACGAATACTTGCCTTACCTACAGCACAATTATTCAGGGCAAAATCACGAAAGCCAGAGCTCGAGGCCAGAGCAACCCAAACAGTGCTCGGCCAAAGACATCTTCGTCAGACAGACACCGCAGCATTGAGTCTGACATTTGTGTTTCAATGTCATTAATAGAAATTGCAGATACATATCTCAGATATCGCGTGGGTGTCGCACCAATGACAAACGATCCAAAAGATCTTGGGGTTTTTTTTTCTTCAATTGAAATCAATGCAAAATCGAGCAATCGATTTCCGAGGCGTGTAATTGTTGAAATGAATTACAATTGACGCCCAGCGCACAGTCGACAATTGGGTCCGTATCTATGAACGTCTCAATTGATTTGTCATTTAAATATGAAAGAGCACAATGAGGAATTGTGGCCGTCAGCAGCGACACCTTTTCAACGGTACGGTCTAAATTTAGTCACAGCCTTGCAGGCGGCTTAGGTGGGTTCAAAAAACTTTCGCTGATCAAATTACGCCCAGACCCAGACCTAACCCGTGGCCCGGCTCTTGGCTTTCTACACAAATTGCAAGAGTCAAACAGGCAGAGCCATTGCCATTTGCAAACCCAAAAACTGCATTTAATGACAGCCAGACAGTTTGACTGACTGACTGACTGAGTGAATGCCTGCCCGAGTCTGCAGCAAAAAGAAGGGCAAAAAGCAGGCAAAGCAAACGACTTAACAAGCAGACAACAGCGAAATACTTTTTAAAATATAGAAAAACTCCAGAAAAGCCCCAAAACTGAACTGAAAAGAGTTAGCTCTTCCACTTCCACTCCCACTCCTACTCCCACTGTCGTGAACCGGCAACTGTCGAGTTTGATGAGGAAAGCGAATGCTGTAAATTATCATTTTATGACAGAAAAGTTTTAAAAGCCAATAAATTTAACTGCGGATGGAAAGCCCCCAGGCCAAAAATTAATGGAAAAGAAAATGGTAATGGGCATCTAGGAACTGTCGACGGAACCTGTTCGAGCTATCGACTAATTGTGAGCGATGCTTCTACGAGTATACCTACAGCACAGTCCACGCTGTCATTATGCCTCTATTCATAACAGAACTTATCAAACAAACTTAACTTTTTCGCTGCACTTGCCCTACCTCAGGGGTTGGCTTCACGAGTAGTGTAGTCTGTCGAAAGGGTTTAGGGAGGATTATTATGCATATTGAAGGCGACTGGCAAATGCACAACGAGCCACAAGGCAGGTGAGGGGTCGGAAAAGGGTTCGTAATTGGCCATGACTTTGGGTTTCCAAGTTTTTATGCCTGTCAGCCGCTGCACTTGGAGGAATGGGAACAGGGAACTGGGAATGGTTTTTTGGGGGGTCTACAATTGGTTCTGGTTCCAGTGGGGTTATACCTGGAAGACTCTTTACGACCCAATGGGGAAGTAGAAAATATGAACAAAGTTTTTGTGCTTTTGATGACGCCGCTTGTCGTCGCGCGGTTGAGAACCAACCGCCTTGACAATGAAATCTGCTAACTGCCATGGACTCTGGCTGTCGCTTCGACTGACGGACTGGGCTGGTCTGGTGCTTGGGCTGGGTTCGTTTTATGGTCTGTGCCCTGACATGTCATTGATATTGCGGGGGCGTTTTTCTCTCTTTATTTATGGTGTGCACTTGGAATGCGCACTGCTCGCTGCCGATGCTATATTATTTATTATAATGATATTTCTTTGACTTCTCGTTGTGGTTGGCTGCTTACCGATACACACCCCCCGCGGCGGTTAAAGGGTTAAAAGTCAAGGGCTTAAATCGTGCTTCCGCCACCAAATTCAACAACCTTTTGTTTTGATGCCGTATTTTAATACTTTTTCTTTTCTTTACCTTTGCAGTTGGCCCCAACAACCAAAACAAATGCAAATGTGCGCCCCAGAGACAAATCACCCCGAAAGTTATCAATAGGTAAAACATTGGAGGAGTGGAGAAGTGGAGAGTGGAAAGAACTCAACCGGTTAAGCGGTTAAGCGGGCTACCATTCTTGGATAAGTATTTTGTTCTGGATACAATCGACAATACACACAAACATCATCACCATGTTGGATCGATGCGAAATGCCGGTAAGTCGGTTTAAATCACATTTCAAACATTCAATTCAGGCTTCGGTGATTCCTAAAGAAACACATTTTGGTGTCTCCTCACTTTCAATTTGAAGTATTTTCAATCTAAATCTTCACCAGCAAAATATACAAAAAAAAGTATAAAATAAATTTTAAAACATGAACAAAATTTGAATTTTCTTTCATACATATTTATCCAAAAACTTAAATAAATATTGTGAAATAAAGTGGAACTCGAATCGGAAGCGTACAAACATCAGACGCTTCATCAGCCTCTATTTGGGGCAACGAGTCTCGGGCTACGATATCCTCGAAGAGGAATATCTGAATAGCTGCTGTTCGGGAGAATGCAAATATTTAATGGAACTCGTTTCGTCTGCTCCACAGATCCAGCTGGACAATGAGAAGCTGCGACGCGATGTGCGGCTCTCCAGCTCCCGCCTGGACCTGCCTCAGCTCTGCAATGGGTCGCGGCGTGGCCTGGATGGCCACAACAACCATGTGGCAGTGAATGAGGCGGTCACCACAACGACGTCGCTCAATGGCAACAGCAACAACAACAACAACAACAACAACATTGGCTCTCCCGTCTCCTCGTCGACCACCAACAGCAGCAACGGCGGCAACGAGCGCGGCTCATCCACCAAGTCCAACAGCAGCAGTGGCAGCGGCAGCTCCGGCAACTCGGCCAGCAGCACCGGCAGCGCCGAGCTCAAGTGCAACACGCCCATGACGCCATCTGGTAAGCAAAAACCAAAACCAAAAGTTTCCCAAATGGGGAGTGTGGGAGGATAGCCTCCAATGAGGGAGTGCGGAAGAAGCCATCATGGGGATGGCACTCTGGGGTTTCCGAATGCCTGGCTGAAGCTCAATGCCAATTAGCGAAGGATGAGGATGCCCTACAGCTTGCCCGCTGCTCCTCTTCTGCTCACTAATTAATTTTATATACTTTTTTAGAAAATAAAACTGGCATTGAGGTCAGGGTCAATGGGGGGGATTTTAGAGTGCTGCGTTTGCCACATGGGAAAATTCTCAATTACTTTTCCTTTTCACAAATGCAAAAAGGGAACGCAAATGTAGGAAAAAGCAGAAAAATACCAAACCAAATTTCATTTAAAACATTTTAATTATCCCCCAAATATCTCTAATGTTTCCATTTCTATACACAGAACTGGTGAAGAAGTTCCGCAACTACCTGACCGATCTGGAGTTCGAGGAGCTCAAAGTGTACAAGGAGGTCTGGTACTTTGGCCAGCACGCCAGCAAGAACTACAACAAGCCCGCCCCCACAGCCAACACCACAAATCTGGGCTATGACGATGATAATGGCAACTATAAGATCGTAAGTGAATCACAGATTTATCCCTTACATACATGACTCACAAGATTTTCTCGTTCCTTGCAGATTGAACACGATCACATAGCCTTTCGTTATGAGATTCTGGAGGTGATTGGCAAGGGCAGCTTCGGGCAGGTGATCCGCGCACTGGACCACAAGACAAACACACACGTGGCCATCAAGATCATAAGGAACAAGAAGCGCTTCCTCAATCAGGCCGTTGTGGAGCTGAACATACTCGATGAGCTGCGCGAGAAGGATGCGGATGGATCTCACAATGTCATCCACATGCTGGACTACACATATTTCCGCAAACATTTATGCATTACCTTCGAGCTGATGAGGTGAGTCGAGTGCCAGTCACGTTTCTCTCAGCTGTGACGTCAATGCAGATTAACCTTTGCCTTCAGCATTGGCTGACAGTCACGAAACTCCACACAATACTCGTATATCAGAGCAGCCTACGACTCGACTCTGGTTAAGTCTTCAATTAAAAGCGCGTATAACTCGCATTTCTATTAACATACTGCCAATTATTTGTGCCAACTTTCGTTGCGTGTTGGCTGGCCATCAAATTGTGGCTATTATTAATTTCCATGCTTCCAAGTGCCTAGCACGCATTCGAATGGATGTTGCTCGAACTTTTCCAAAGTCCTTTTTGCCTCACATATGCGATTTTCATTTCATTGTTCCACAGTTAAGTTTTATTGCTATCGTGTACGTGTGTGTTATGCTTCGGTTCTGTTTATAGTCTCTTTATAAATGCTCATAAGTGGAACTCATAATTTGATATACGAAGTATTTACAGTGGGCTATAATTCAGATCGCACTCCTCCCGCTCTAATGCGATTTCCTACCACCATTTTCCGGGCAAACAGTAAACAATATAAATTTCTATTTAATTTCCTGCCGTAATTTTACATGCCACAAAAGCGCAAACAAGCGGCAGACGCAGACACAATCTGAATCAAGTGCACCCACCGCAGGCGGCGCTCGGCTATCAATTTCAATTTGAGCGCTGAATGTTGTGTGTGTTGTGTGTGGCCTACTTGCAGGCGCAGCAACCTGCGGCACGCCTCCTTTGGGCATACGAGTGTGTGCCGTCCGACCTGTTGTTGCACCCTTGCACTGGGCATGTTCTTTGATGGATCAGATGGATCAGCAGGGGCATGTCGTGGAAATCTAATTGATTGGCATGCCCTGAACCTGAACATGGAACCTCAGGTGTTGATATTATAGCGGGTCTGGGACTGGGCCTGGGACCGGAACTCACTGCATGTGGGCATGTCAAAGTTTAGACAGCGAGCAACGCAAATATGGTAAAAATAATACTCGTTGCAAATACATCGTACATCATGAGCTGAGCGGAGCAGCACGCGATGCAACAGCCATACTGGTAGTTGGTGGAAAGCGAACATCGAAGGTCGTCCTGTTTTCGTTGTGTGTTTTCCCTCTCCGGTGCCTCTGACATTTCCGTCAGTCGCCGGTGACTAATTTGTCTTAATTGCCAGCCTACAAAAGTTTTTCGCTCTTTGCATTTTGAGGCTACATCCAGTTGACATTTTAGAGCACTGATTTGGGGGTCTCTAAATTCGAATGGGTTAGTGGCACGCCATCAGAGAAGTGCGCTGCCCCTCTGTCCTCTAATTGCAGACAACACTCGGCAATCGATGGAGCAACCGAATTGAATCATTTACTTCATCATCCATCGCCTGTAAGGGAATTTAATTAATTATTTGCCTTGCGACTAATTAGCCGCAAAATCGTTGTTTTTGTTTGTTTCTTCGAGGACGCACTTGTTCTTTTTTTCTGCTTTTCCCCTGAAGAAGTTTTCCCGCAATGGCAAAACTTTGTCCGAGTGAGGTCCGAGGAGGCAATACGGCTCTAGGGTGTGGCGTGGAGGGACCCGCATTGACAACCCGGTGGCAAGTTTTAAAGTTTGTTTTGAACGAGTAAACAAATTGTATGCTAAGTTTTACGTAATTAAATTTACGTGCACGCAATTTAATTTGCATGCTCCTCATGGAAAATTCCCATGGCCAAAGACAGATTTAGTTTGTCTGATTGGATTAGTGGTTTAGGACTAATAATTTATGGGCTTGTATGAAAGGAATGGCCAAGGAATGTTCTTCGAAAGATTCACAGTGTAAAGAATTGCTAAGGCCAATGCGGCATTTACTGAAAGCAGAAAGAGGAAAACAAAGTGAGCAAAATATACTTATATTTTGAGTTCTTGCAAAAGCGATGGTACAGCTTTGAGCTACAACAGTGTACTTGGTGAATGCCGGCTACGGCCATTGCCTTTCGGCTAACACAAGTAAAATTTACGCTTTGTGGAAGCCCCTCCATGTCAGGGAAGCTCAGCCAAGCTGATTAACTAATTAGCAGGCTGCCCTTACACGAACGCAAAGGACAGAGGGGCAGAGGGTCTCTGCAAATATGAAACCTAATCTGTGACTGTGTCCCCAAAGTGACACACACACACGCCCACTCATTCAAGGACTTAATTTCGCAAAAAGGACAGAGAGCAGCAGCGCACTGCGGAGGATGGTAAAAACTAAATTGACGTAAAGTGACACATTTTTGCACAGACACACACAGAATGCCTGGCAAACATTTGGATGGTTTTCCTTCCATTCGACCCTGGCAGGTGGCAGCTTCAGGCTCGCCTGGGACTTGTTTAAGCATTATGAGCCACATAATTCACAGCGACAGCGATAAAATGGGAGCCACCAAAGTGCCAAAGACAGCGAGCAAGAGGGCGGCACACACAATTCACACGGAGCGCCTATAACTATGCAGCATATTGTCCCAACGACGATGACGCCGCTTTTACGCCAAGAACATGCCACTGCTGCCCTGTGGATGTGGCCAAGTTACTGGCCCTGTCACCGTGTGGGTGTGCGCCTGAAGGCACATAAATTGCAGTCTAATGTTGCCTCGGGGGAGGCAGCGCAGCGGTAGAGGAGTCCTTCATGCCCGCTCTCTCGGCGGTTGTTGTTCGTTGGTTGTTGGAAAGATTTAATTTCAAGTTTATGACCCATAACGAGATCGGAAGAGCGATAATCTATGGGGAATTAATTTTGCTTGTTTTTTAAAATGAAATTTAAATACAGCGAAAGGTATTTTGTCTCAACCGAGGATACCAAAAATCCAGGGACAATCAGAAGTTTCATGGCTTCTCTGTAGGCCGTTTAAATCCTTATTTTATGAGGAATTAATTCTGATAAATTCACTTTTGCAATGCATTAAAACACAATGCATTTAAAATTGTAAATGTAAATGGCAATTTAATTATCAATTCATTGAAAATACCTTTTAGAATCAACGCAGAAATCAAAGTTAATTAAACCATTGAAAGGCTTTCAACTGCCTTCGGAATGGGATGCTTCCTGTTGGTCCAAAGTGCTGACAACACCTGCGGCTGTACTCGGGCTGGTGAATGCATATGCACCATGTGCAGAATCAAAGTGAACATTTAAATTAAATTGGAAATTTCCCTTTTTTATGCGTTTTGTGACCCACTTTATGGGCGCCCGAACACCCGCTGACAGTCCATCCGCTTCAGAGCCGATCAATAGCCAACAGATGCAGCCACATGCTGGTCCTGTTCCTGGTCCTAGTCCCTGTCCTGTCCTGTCCTGTCGTCGGCCATGTAATTGACTATTTCTGACAGGCTGCCTCCCTGCGTGTGGCAGTGACATCCGCCACTGAAGTCAGACGTGGACGCGTCATCGCCGTCACTTGGGTCTCTTGCTGGAAAAAATAAATGTACCAACTGAAATGATTTTTAATTAAAATGCAACATGCGGCATGGGGCATGCAGGGGCGTGGTCATGCAAATGAGCAGCGTCCTGCAAGTCAACTTTTTTAAATTAATTTTTGCACTTAGTGCGCGTGTAAATTGCAATTAGAGGAGGATGAGGACGAAGCAGGACGACAGAGATCCCGTTGTAGATTGAGTTACCCAGAGAATAAACCCAGCACGACTGTCTACGTAGATGTTGATGTAGGTTATTATTATGCCGTGCCATGGCACAGTAATTACAGCTAATTGACATTTCCCGAGCATTGAGTTTGTTTGCCATCGCCCAACGGGAGGTTGCCAGGACGGGGCAGGAACAGTAGCAAGGCCAAGGCCAAGTTATTTGCCATATGATGAAAGGTAAAGTAGCTTCTACTTCTCTCCTCCCTACACTCTCTGGTGGAATGTCTCGTGCAGCTCTGTGATTATTAATGGTTGGGTTTTGCTGACTGTCACAGGACCGTCGACTAATTAAAATGCCACACAACGAATAGAAACGAGAGATATTTTGTTTGGGATTAAGGCCTTGGGCCGTCGAGCCAAGGTCAAGCCACGGCACAGAGTCCCAGCCAACGTACCACAGATTCTGGGACAGAGCATCATTAATTCAGGAGGCTTTTTCGCCAGTGATTCCGTGGTTTAAGCTGCTTAACTCGAATATTTATGGTTATTCAAGGAGAAATTACATGAAATGGGTTTTATTTTCCTTCTTTTCCAGGAATATTCTTTAATATTTAATGACATTTTCCCGGCAATCGATATCCCTTTATATATTCCACCTACTGCTCGAATCACGCGGTGGAATTTGTTATGCAAATCAGGACACCAGCAGAGATTGAGGCCTCCTAGTCCGGTCCCAGTTGTCGCTTGTCAATCAATTTCAAGGCAATCTTTTCACTTTCCCCAAGAAAACCAATTTCGAATTTATGCTGAAACTTGCCAAAAAGTTTGCCGGCACAAAAGGTGACACAGTTCTCGGTGCGGCGACAAGTTCATTTGTGGCCAATTGACAGCCCTGAAATAAGCCATGAAAAATGTGTTTTGCTCCTCGTATACTCGTATCCGCAATCCCCAAGCCGTCGCTTCGGTGACAGATACACAGATACTCCTGCACGTCGTACAGATTGAGTTAGAGATATTGAATAGACCTTCGAACTTGATGTTGTTTATGGTGGGCGTATTCTTATCCATTCTGTTCACTTTCACTCTCTCCCTCTGCCCCTCCATTTTCCTGCCTTCTGGGTGTGCTAAATGCAGGCATTAGTGGCTCGTTACAGTTGCATGTTGCAGCTGCAGTAGCATCGCGGTGCAGGTCGCAGGGCACTGAAGCAAATCAATCAAATTACCAACGGAATTTCGGCACGAAAAAAAAGCGCCCAGCCCGCCCCACCAGCCGGTGCCACAGCCATTCTCAAGTTCATGGCAGATTCACGGACTTTTGACATTGGTTCTATGTGGCATGTCATAATGCAGTTACAATGTGCATTCCATCAAGCATACGAGTACGAGTATGTACTGGGCCGATTGAAATTATGACATTTTGATGATTTTCTTATTGGTTTGTTATATGCCCGAACCCGAACCCGGCCCGACCCTGTCCCTGTCCCTGTCCCGGTCTGTCTGCCAATAGTTGGGCCAGCAAAAGCAATGGCAGTCCATGCTTTAAAGCACTTTAAGCCTTGCCATTTTGGCATTTCGCAGTGCCTACTTTCAGGCGCCTGTGCATTGAAAAAGTTTTCAAATTAAAAGCCCCGTGACCTTTGCGGTGTGCTGTGCGCTCTCGCTACTCTACCGTCATCCATGCCCTGCCATTATGTGGCTTAAGGGGGAAGACAAATGGCCTTGACGCCTCTTTTAAACCCAATCAGCTTAGCGGGCTTTTAGGCGCACTTAGCAGCTCGTATGTAGATACACAAATGTGTGCTTGAGGGAAAAGGAAAAGCGCAGACAAGTCGGCTGACATAAATTTTAATTGGATTACCCCATAAACAAGTTGTAGAACATGGCTTTAAACCTTAATGTCTACATGTTTGCGTGGGATGAGTGCATATATTCAGCAACATTCATGTTCCTTCTCTTTAACAGCAACTTTAACCTTTCACATTCATCAACTTTGACCTGACACCCACCCACACACATCCGGCTTTCATGCCATCGCCAGTTATTGCTTTCGGCATTCGCAATCTATCTACACACACACATATATGGGTCAAGCCTGTCAAAGGAGCACTCACGAACAGGCGATGAAGTTATTGATAGCACTTTCGGTTCCTTCGGATAAGATTCGCAGCTCTAGGGCAGGCGACTTCATAAGTTCAGCATTAGCAAGAGGATGGATGAAAGAAAATCTGTAGCAATTTATGGGATGTTCATGAAAACAGATATGAAACTCTGTGGTTGGCACAGAAACTCATCAATCATCCGTGCCCATAACCATGATGTGTCATCAATTGACCAAACTTTCCAATTGATCAACTTTTGGTTATTCCTCGCTGGAGGGAGGTGGGACGCAGTTTTGTTGTCTCTTTGGTGGTTGCATTGACATTGAGGAAGCCGAAAGCAGCTCCTTTGTTATCAGTTAATTAATCGCCAGAAATCGCAAAAACTGCGAATGCAAAAACCCATTCAGGAAACACAGCAAATGGGTTGACAAAACAAGATACTATTGGGGGGCAAGTACCGTGGTTGAAACATTTTAGAAATTGTATTCCTTGTACCTTATTATTCTGTCTATAATTTAGTACTGGATGAGATCTTCCATTTGCGATTTCTTAATCTTTGTTTTGACTAATTTATGTGGATGCAAATCCACATGATTGATTGCCAGTGTGCTTTTGCTCTTTTTTGCTCCATCGTTGTCTGTTGGCTGCTCCGACATTGTCCGTAAGGTTGTTCCGGCCTCACCAGCTGACGTTGAACGGCAGAATGTTGAATGAACCTAAATTCGTGCCCGACATGCAATGGAAGTTAATTCAATACATGTTTCCCTGTGTTGTCGGTGCACCGGGGCGGGCTTTAGCCGTCATTTCACTTGTCTCCGTGACTCCACTAACTCCCCATATCACTCTCTCTCTTTCTGTCTTTGCAGCTTGAACCTTTATGAGCTGATCAAGAAGAACAACTACAATGGATTCAGCATGAGTCTGATTCGGCGCTTCTGCAATTCGATTGTGAAGTGCCTGCGACTGCTCTACAAGGAAAACATCATTCACTGTGATCTCAAGCCGGTAAGTATTTAAAATCGGAATGGTCATTGAATATCCCCCGACTAACGCAGAGCTTTGTGTACTTTCTGTAGGAAAACATCTTGCTTAAACAGCGCGGCAGCAGCTCCATCAAAGTCATCGACTTTGGCAGCTCCTGCTATGTGGATCGCAAAATCTATACGTACATCCAGTCGCGTTTCTATCGCTCTCCGGAGGTGATTCTGGGCCTGCAATACGGCACCGCCATTGACATGTGGAGCTTGGGTGAGTCCAGTTTTAATTAAAAAACATTCTGACGGGAGGAACATCATGAAATTTTCAACGCTGCTCTGCATTTGACACTCAAATTTATTGCACACTCCCTGGCCCATAGATATTGGAATGGGAAACTAATAAAATATTAAGCATTCTATGGTGCACACGTGCTATTACAAGAGCTTCTAGGGCTTTGGGTTTGTGGGTCACTCCCGCTCCCACTTCCACTGCGAATTTCCGTCGGTTCAATCGACTTGGCCAAGTCCCGCCCAGAGCTCAGTCGAGTGTAGCAACACGCACCATGCCAATTAGCAGCAACAGGCAAAGGCTGTAAAGGACCTCCAGACGGAACAAAGAGAATATCGGCAAGGTGGCGGACACTCAACAAGTGCCCCCACTTGAAGTTTATGTATACAATAATTTTGCCCAGCGCAGGCCCCGCTCTTAGCCCCACTTGGAATGGCACTTCCTGGCCACCACGCTCATCCCTTTAGCGCCCATTTCCGACCACACAACCACGTCCGGTCAGCGTTAGGAAAATATCGTGGGCTCCTGCCAGAGAGAAACAGCAACAAAAGACTCATTAAATGTGCGCAGGACGTGGAACGAGGGAGGTGGGAGGTTAGAGAGGTTGAACGACTGAAGCCGTAGCCTAATAAAAACCATTTCGGTTTATTTTTAGCCGCTGTCTTGGCCTGCTTTACGTGTGTGTGTTGTCCGTGTGCTTGGTTATCTGAGCACACCCGAGCGGAGAAGGGAAATGGGTTACGTGTTGAGAAATGTCAGCTCTTAACAAATTCCAAGGGGTCTCTGTTCTGTGCTCCTCGGTTCTCTATTGAAGCAACTGTAACGGAGCGAGGCGAGAGTATCTATGTACATACGTGTGGGTTTTGATTGCTTTGAGCTTCATTAGATAAAGTAGGTCGCAGGCTGCTCTGTTTGAACAGGGAACAGCTTTAGTAGGTCTGCCCTCAAAGTAAAGCTTTATTTTTCCCTACACTGTTTGCTCAGAGGTAATCGACATCAATTACATCTTCAATAAATTGACTAGCAATAGCAGTTCAAAAGAAATTGGTTGAGTCAGAAGGTACCGCAACAAAACCAGAGTCATTCATTTAGCAATTTTTGCTGTAACATCTCGCCCCATGAGTCAGAAGCCTCCATCAATGCAGTCCATTAGAAAGTGCAGTGGATATAAATATTGCAAATAATGGACATGGACAGGACACGTGCCCGGCACAGAGTCAAGGTCAATGCGCTTGTCTGACCGTCCGAAAAATGCGTCAAACCCCTCTGGAAATCAATACTAATTTGGCTGTCTCTTTCTCTCTCTCTTGCAGGCTGCATTCTGGCCGAGCTATACACGGGTTTCCCGCTCTTCCCCGGCGAGAACGAGGTGGAGCAGCTGGCCTGCATCATGGAGGTGCTGGGACTGCCGCCCAAGGTGCTCATTTCGGTGGCCAGGCGGCGGCGTTTGTTCTTCGACTCGAGGGATGCGCCGCGCTGCATCACAAATACCAAGGGGCGGAAGCGGGCGCCGGGCAGCAAGTCGCTGGCCCAGATTCTGCACTGCCAGGATCGGTACTTCATTGACTTCCTGCAGCGCTGCCTGGAGTGGGATCCCGCGGAGCGCATGACGCCCGACGAGGCGGCCCATCACGAATTCCTACAGCCCTCCGCCTCCAGTCGCCATCGCAGCTGCCGCATGTCGAGCAGCTCCTCTAGCTCGGGCCTCAACAGCGTCTCCCAGAAGTCCTCCTGCTATAACTTTGCAGAGATCTCGCCGGGCAGCGGTGGGCCCGTGGTGGCCTCCATCACCAGCACCACTGCAGTGAGCAATGCGGCCATCACCACCACCAAGTCCAGGCAGCCGCAGCAGCAGCAACAGCAGCAGAGCCACAGCCACAGCCACAGCAATCACATCAACCACACGAGCCACAGTCATGCCCAGTCGAATGGACACCTGCCCGACATCAAGCTGAGCGCCGGCGACAAGTACAACAGCATGCAGAAGGTGGCGGTACGCTCCAAGATCACCTCGAGCGTGTCCGACCTGGAGTCCGTGCAGCAGTACTCGCTGCACCGCATCTACGGGGGCGTGGGCAGCGGCAGCACCCACCACGTCTCCTCGGCGGCCACCAGGAAGCACCTGAACGGGGTCAGCAATGTGGGCGCATCTTCCAAGTACGGCAGCTCGACTCTGGCCCACAATCATCACAATGTGAGCCACCACAATGCGTCGACGGCCACCATTGCCACGGCCACCCACCATCACCATCACCATGCAGCCGTCGGCCAGCCGGCGATCAATGGAACGGCCAGTGGCGCCATGTCACACTCTCAGTCCACTGGCGATGTCTCCGACAGAGCCATCTTTGGGAGAGCTTGACTCCGAGCCCGCCCCACCAAGCTGGAGCTCAAAAAATGCAAGCTGGTCAACATGATGGATTTCTGGAGCTAGAAGTGGCGTCCACAGCAGTGCGCAGCCCTCAAGGAGCGCGAGGAGGAGCACTAGCAGAACATGGAAAAGAACTAGGATCCAGTTGTGCGCCTTGTAATTGTCTGTGAGCGCAATGCTGTTGTACTCCCACTTCCACTCCCAAACATAATCCCCCCCACACGAAATCGAATGCCTAGGATAGTCCCCTTGCGCTCCTTGCAGCACTTTGCAGTATTCTTTAAGTTTCCCCAAAACTATTTTATTTCGCTACTGCCATAGCCAAATGTATTCACGCCCCAAACCGTATTCTCCAAACCTCTTCCCCGAAAGTATTTTCTTCCCTCCATTTTCCAAACAGAAACGTGGTGACCCAAGGTGTTGCCCAGTGTCTGCTGCACGAAAAGTGTATTCAACATGAACAAAAATCACGAAAACAGAAGCCAGCTCAAAGGAACAACCATACCCTAAATGTAGTCTATAAGTTATGGCATATCCATACTAAACATAAGATGTAGCAAACATTTGTAACGATTCACCCAACGCATACCCGAATTCCCCAGTATCCCGATTCCCCATACACACATACATATGTACTCGTATACTCGTATTTTTAGGGTCACTTTGCGTGCGACTCAAATCTGTAACAATTTCATACAGCTTCCATGTCTTTTGCAACAGTATCAAGGCTGTTATTAGTTACATATGCAAAACTGAAAATGTATCTATATACACACATAAATATATCTTTAATTGTAATTGTAAGTTAGTAGCTCGGGGTTTGGGTTCGATTCGGCCAACCCACACATCACAGCGAACCCCCAATCAGCGTGAAGTTGCATGAGAATGAATGAAGTACTACGACCTTTGTATGTACACAACGAGTAACGGCCCGTCTGCCCCATTCGCACGGAATACATGTCATAATTTAACGGAAAACGCATATATAGTAAAGATTTAGATTTACTATAACTCTAGGCATAGAAATCATTTGTGCAGATAAACCCACAAACCAATGGCCAATACCACAATAATTGGAACAATTCAAATGGACAGAAAGGAATGTCGGTACAATAATTATGGAGAGCGCCACATCTACATACATATATGTAAACCGTATTAGTGGAAGTAAATCAAGCAAATAAATACAATTTTATTCAAATTACAGTTTGTTCGTTTTAAAATAAAATAAAACAGTTTGGCCACAGCCACTTGAGCTGGCTAAAGGTGTGTGTTTAACGAGTCTAGACTGTCGCTAGAGCGATGTTTGTAACCCCGTAATGCCGTAAGTTTAGATAACACTGTAAACAAATTGCAACTTTTGCTCATGACTTTTGGATATACCGCACTAGACTCTACAATATCTAATATTTACAATATAGAATGTACTCATCCGACTCGTTTAGCATCTATGCATAGAGCTGCGATCCTTGGAGCTTGTTTCGTATTATTTATAAATGTTTTCTCTGCCACTCGTCGTAACTCGTATATGTATGTACTCGTATATCCGATACTTTATTCAATGTATTATTATGTGTTTTATTATGGATTTTGACAGAAGTAAAACCAACAGCAAAGCCCTTGATTTAAAAAGTGTGTTCGAATTTAACGTTTAGTCTTAATATTAAACTAAATGAAGAAAAACCATAAAAATGGAAATTTAATTATAATTACAAAAATAGATGTACGTACGTACATATTATCAATTTTAAATTAATGAAGCATATTAGTTGTACAAAACGAGAAAGCGACAACATGTAATCAATTACAATTTCAACAAAAAAGGAATAAATGAACAAAATTATGTACTCAAAACTGCAAGTTTTAGTGGAACGGAAGGAAACAATACAAATAAATATAAAAATATTTATTTGGATTTAAACGACTTGACATTAAGACATAAGTTACAAACTAAAGTTAATAACTGCCATCAATTCCGATCAGTCATAGTAGCCCACTGTGCATTGCCCACATGCAGATGGACGAATCGTGTACTCTACGATGTAGAGCATGTAGATAGTAAATCGAGCCCTCGCCCGTTCCCTTGGCATACTTTTAGGCGTGCGAATGAAGCTGATTTTCTGACAAACAAATATTTGACAGAAAAAACGAACGGCCGACTTTTCAGTGTCAAGAAAAGTTTTCCTTTTTCCATATTTTCACTAATCAGTAAAATGATTTGAGTGCTGTGAGTAGTGATATATTTAAGTAGGTCTATACATACATACGTATGTACATACATTTTTAATTAAGTAAGTTCATTGTTTAGTCAAATTTCCATGGACGCAGTCAATTTAATGCAAACGGAAGCTGTAATGGGTTATCAAAAATTGTTATTCATTTTTCATTCATTTTATTATCGCCTCTGCTTCTTTCCCAACGATGGTGTCGGTAATAATGATTCCACGCGACACCATTTGGGATGCCTGCGGCGCTCTTCGCGTTGGTTCATTTAGTTTTTTGCTACTAATTCGATGGTATTTTTTGTATCTTATTTGATGTTTGCATTATTAATTTTATGCAATTTCCGACAGCGTCTAAGCAGAGTTGCCAATTTCAGTGTGGAGTTAAGATTTGTATATTTTGTAAATCAATTTTGCATTTAAAGCGGCACTTAGCGGCAATAACTTAAGGGGCTCGTTTCACAAGATTTTTAATATCCTTCAACGCTTAGACAATTATTAAAAATGTCTTCGAACCCTGAGCAAGACCAAATAGAAACACTCAGCCCTACTGTACTGTATTGTACTTGAAGATCTTCGGTCAGGCATCAGCTTGACAGCTTCAAATGCACAGCGTTTTGTTTTCACTTTTGAGTCCCAAGTGCTGCGTGGGACTAAGGGGAAAGTAGAATTCTAAGTACGCACTACGGATCAGTAATATGACTTAATCCCAGATGCGGCGAAGAGCCAGTCTCATTCTTGAATAAAAAGTAAAAGTTGCCAGCTCACGATCACACCGAACCGATTCCCCCGATGAGGGGTTCGGCCCCAGCGAGTGATAAGCACAGGCTGAAAGCGTCATTGAGTCAAAGGTTTATTGACGTACAGCCGCTGCGGTGGCTTCTTCAGCGCCTTTCTTCCTCATGATCCCCTCTTGGTTGTCGTCGACTGGTGCCCACTTGTTGCCAGGTGAGGCCATCGCAGGTCGGGCTCGGATCGGTTCGGTTCGTTTTGGTTTCGGGTCCGTAGCAGATGGAGCTGGAGTTGGAGGCTCTCCTCTCTCGAAGGCCGCTTCTGCTTCGACTTTGTCTGCCTCTTTTTCTCCGTTGTGTGTTTTTATATTTTTTCTTTCTTCTTCTGATTATTCGTCGCAAGGTGAAAGTCTTTCTCCCTCAAGCAGTTTGTTGTTGCTATTTGTAAAGCATTTAGTCTTTTTCGGTGTTTCAGTTTTTGTTGTCTGACTGTCTGGTTGTCTGGCAATCGCTTTTGTTTTTCAGTTAATCTTCGGCAGACATATGACTATCCATTGGTTACCCATTCATCATTATTTGCAGCTTGCCTTTGAAAGTGCAAATAATTTAGGCTCTAATCGAAGGTCATTTGAGAGAACTTTTCTCGCTGATCACTGCCTATGGTTTTTCCTTTCTTTCTTGGAACTACCCATGAGGTCACTTGTTCACAAATTGTGTGAGAGGCAGCTGCTACTTTTATATCGTTTGCCATAAAAATAAATTGCAGCCACACATAAATGTCTTTGCCGGAGGCCAGAAACGCTGTTTAGGATACGGCGAGGGCAAGGCTTGTGGATCATATAAAGACACTTACTTATAAAGATATTGTGAGGCAGTATGTGGAGTGATCCCACTACCAATTTAGAGTCACAAACATTTACACCCTCGGATGGATGTAATGGATTGCAGACAAAATCCCAACTGCCACTGGACATTTGTCTCTAATTGCGTTTGACCCTGGGAGCAACATTTTGATGGCAAGCCATTCAAAAAGTAGCGAAATTGGCAATTATCAATCAAAACTGGCGCTGTGTGTGGGAAGTAATTATAAAAACATGAACCTGAAGATACTCGTAGAGAGAAGGAAAGAGCGAGAGAGAAGAAAACATGAAGTAGCCATGAAGAAAAAAGAAATTAAAAATCGAGTAATTAGAAATTGATTTGACAAGGGGTTAACTTCCTTTCCCGAATACATCGTACCTCTCTTGGGATTGTGCAAACAATTCAATCCAGCCCGGGAGCAGGTGAAAATATTTTCCACTGATTTGGATATTGTGTAAAGGTTTTTCTCACAGCCCGATCGGATCGGTCAACAAAGAAAGCCATCAAATAAAGTTTAAGCACACAAAAGCTACAAAAGACCAGAGCAGAGTCTTTTGGACTGCAGTCAATGACTTGGACAACCGGCGAGCGAGCGAGCGAGAGAGCGGCCCCCAAACCGAAACCCTAGTATCATCATGGGCCATTATCATTGTCTGCTTGGGCACAAAGCCCAACCTGATAAGCTCTCTGGCTCTGGCGCTTGCCGATTATGCAATCGCTACTTGAAGGGAGCTGCTCGACTACGAGTCTTTTCTAGAATTGTATTTCGGGGGGCTTCAGATAATTGGCTGTTCGTTGGGGTCGGAAATTGAAATGTTGGTGAAGTGAGGCCGGCGATGAAATGGGAATTTGATAAACTGATTGATGGATTAGTTGATTAGACGTTATACCCGTCGCAGTAATGTTCGGGGGATCTGGGAAAATTGCTGCGATAATTGGGTGGAAAGCTGGAAATAGTGGAAATAATTGTTTAAACGCTCTTTTCTGATAAGAAGTGCGTTTTTCTGTGTCGAAAACTGTGAATGACTTGTTATACAAGAGGAAATCAATTTAATAATTAAACTAACTCAATCGGTTGGCTAGGTCAGAAGAATTGGGAAAGTTTTGTGGAGATTATCTTGCGGGAAAAATGATCAAAAGCTTGAGTTAAAGGAAGGTTTTCTTTTATGATAAGAAAATCTCAAATATCCTTAAGGGCTTGAGAATTATTTCCTCACAGATGTCTTCATTAGAAGAAGTAATTTCTCAAACAATTCCATCCGCAAGAAAATCCCCGGGCTACTTAAGGAGCGACTCTCCATTAAGTGATCAAAACAAGCATAATGACATGCTGATCCCCTTTCCAAATAGGTTTCATGTGATGTAAGTCGGTGGTGATCGCAGAGGGATACACCGAGCCACACACAACATTACCAGCTGAACTGAAAGCAGAGCATTAATCATGGCCATATCATTAATATATGAATCAGTTCGCAGATGGATTGTTTGTCCAACAAAAGTGCCATAAAGTCATAATTAATGCGGCCATGAGCATGGAATTCAGCTTTCAGGGGCTACCGGTGAACCAGCAACAGGGCAGATATGATAGACACACGTCTGAGAGCCCCCGATGATGCTTTAAACGGTGTAAGTACACAATTCTTTTGGGGCGAACTCGAATTCTCGGACGCCCCCAAACCGAGTGTTTATCTGCACTTCCGAGTCGGCTACGTGATGGCTAGCAATTGCAATCACAGAAGATGGCTTTTGTGGATGTGGATTGGCCACTTCTGGGTTCGATAAGCGCTTCGACGCTCCGACAAATGATTCACGTGAAAAATCCAAGCTCTCTGCTTGGCATTTCCTCATGTTGCCGGCTCAGCTCAGCAACACTTTCTCTTTCGAGCGCTCGTCTGTGCTCTTTGCTTTCTCTTCGATATTTGCCCGGCCAAAACGTAGCATGGCTCATTCCCTCTTTGACTCTGGCAACATGTTGCCGGTGCAGGCCCACGATGAGCCAGCCCCAGCGTCTGAGGCAACGTCGCAGTCTTCGTTTTGGCATCTTCGTCGCGAGCTTGGCTTAAATTGTTACCAAACGTTTAATGATCTTCAGTTAGTCTTCGAACTTTTACCGGACCAGTCGTGTCTGCGGCTTCCACCTGCAGCTCGAGCTCAAGCTCTCAGTTCCTCAGTGCGCCTCAAACGTTAACGGAATTTTAAACAGATCCAAGAGACCACTACTCGAAGAAAGAAAAGAAACAGAAACTGAATCATTTGCATAAAGCAAATAGAAAACGAAACGAAAATAACTCTGGCAAAAGTTAACTTGGATTTTGATCGTTGTGTATCGTTTCCCCATCGCATATCTGATATTTCTCGCGCGCCCCTCCATCGTGTTTGTTTTGAAAGAAATTAGTGTAACGATATTGGGTTGATCCAACAAATAATTGATATTTGATTCGGTGTTTCGGTGAATCATGCGAGTCTCATTGGCACTGTGGGGCACTCTGTGCCTGTGGGTGGTCACGGCGAATGCACAGGGATTTATTCCGCCACCCAATGCGGGGCATCATAATGCGGTAAGTCTTGCATTGAAAGTGTTTGAAATAACATAGATCCTTGTTTATGCAATGGGATACACTTAAACATTTTTATTTGTATCAAATTGGGGTCAGTTCAGATGATTGTTCCACATTCCCTCCCATTGACAAAGGCATTCATCAAATGTGTGCCAAGCAATAATCATCTAAATAACAGAAAGAAATATTTAACACACAATTTGCATTCCCATTGAATGTATGCAAATATTTATTGTCGTCACCAAATTGACACAGTTTTTAGCTCAGATTGTTGCCCCAAGTGGAATCCCAAAGAAAGTTTCCTGCCTTGACCAGTACTCGCATAAATATGTCAAAACACCAAACTTAATCGGTTGGACGAGTTTTCAGAGACTGTTAAGCAAATGTTAAGCAAATCCCAAACAGAAAATTCCACAGACTTGCATAAGACTTTCTATCAATAGAGGAGAGGGCCAGCTTGAAGTTCGATCTTAAGCGACTATTTAACAATTCAATTATTCAAATATTTGTATTCAAATTTCAATATTAATTGCGGCAGAATGTGCGCTGGCAGCATTGAAAACGAAAACGATTTTCAACGCCTCAATGAACTTTCCCTTTTCATAAAAACATTTTGATCGGCCTGCTGGGACTTGATTAAATGAAGATGCAAAGGAAGCAAAGCGCCACGAATCGGACTGAGATGAGAGGCAGAGGCATGGGCCAACGTTTAAGGCATCGCATCGCCGGTGTAGACCTGTGTCCAAACCTGTTCGCTTGGAGTGGTCAAGAAACTGAATACAAAAAGAAACCCTCTTTCGGCAGCGGATGAACCGCAAACTGCAGAGTCATGTGAAATGTTTGAGAATCTCCTATGGAGTAACGCTTGGGGCTTTGCTGTTGCAAAGTTGAAGGTCTCTAAGATATTTATTGTATCACCTAGATAATTGATTATCTCCAAGTTTGATTGGGCCAGGCCACCCCCTCTGTGTAAGCTCATGTTGATGTAAGCTGAACGTGTTTGACATCCGCTGCTACAGTTTTCACTTTCATGGCCGAGTCCGAAAACTTTTGGCCAAAAGCCACAACAATTTACGATGTGAAATCATCTGTTTTGTTGTCTCCTCTTTTTCTGGTTGCCTAAGCTTTATGATAGGATGAACTAATGCCTATAATTGAGACTTGGATTACGTAAAAAGATTAATTCGGTATTGTTCAAGCTGCAGGCAATGTTTTGATACGGGACTATGATGGTCTCGCGCTGAAGCTGAAGGTAAAGAAAAACGAACAGACATTGATCATAACAGATGCTGTGGCTTTTAAGTGCATGTATGAGGAAAGAAAAGAAGACAAATACAGATACACTCTTTCCTCAGCTGAACCCCATCTCGCACTGCATTGTCCTTAACCTTTCGACGCGACGCAGCCATTGACTTGCCGATTTCCTTTTCAATAAGTTTCAACAATTTTACCCAAAGCGTCGGGGAAAACATGGCTTGGACCAGATAGCTGCCAACCCCATCTCTCACTATTGACATAAGTTTGCTATGGCAATGGCCTGCGATTGCGATTGCGGTTGCAACAGCAGCAGCAAAGACTTAGCCAAATACAAAGAGGGAAAAGGCCGTCTCATCATCTTCCTTTTGTCTGGCAGTGAACAGGAACTGGTCGAAGCCGAAGCTGGATTTGATAGTTGCAGTCGCCTGTCTTAAGAGCTTTTGCTCTGTTTTGTTTTTGGGACTTGGGACTTGGCATCTTTTCGGTGGCTCTGCAATTTCCTTTGTGCGATTTGGTTTTTGTTTTTGCTATTGCTTAATTTTATTTTAGCTTTTATTATTTTGTACATTTATATATTGCCTCACGTAGCATGTGCAGTTGGGCTACTGCGTCGTGTAAACAGAAATTGCCGCCAACTTTGCAGCCAGGCAATGGCATTCGGCAACATCTGTTGCCCAGCGTTCATGTCCATCCATCCAGTACAGAGTTCACTGCGCCTGCGCTATAGTCAAAAGTTCCAGTCCCCAAAACAGAAATCCCCATCCACATCCCCATCCCGACAGATACAACAATTTGCTGTCGTCGAACATGTTTTGCTGGGCCTGACTGCCTGCCAAATCGTTTGCAAAAGTTTGTTGTTACTTTTTTACTTTTTGGTTTTGTTTTGTGGTATATTTTGCATTTATTTAACAGATTGTTTATTACTTATTTATATCTTCTAGGACTTTCACTTTTCTGAAGTGAATTCAAAATAAATATACAAATAATAAGAGATAAATCCTACACCAGAACACAACATTTCAAATTAGAAAGATCCAAAATATTTGCTTAAAACTATTTAAAATTAAACATTACCACAAGGAAAGGAATGGAATAATGGATTGATTTTCGCGTTTATTTATGACATTATACAACCGATCGTACATTTTCGATTAAGCGTAGCCCGAAGCCAAAAAATATGACAGAAATTTCCCAGTGGTTTACCTGGGGGCATGGCATTCATTGAAACTGGTTGGCAATCATTTTATATGAATTAATATATGTCTGACAGGCCCTCGGTCAGGCCATACAACCTGTTCATTGTCGGTTCGCTTTTGTTGTCTCAGCACCACCAGCAGCTCCACCAGCATCTGCCACCACTAACATCCACAGTAAGAAATATAACAAGTCGCCGCGTTTCATTGTAATTTCTTTTTGCGAGTTTGGTTCTGGTCTTTTTCATGGCATGGAAAGTGGGTCAATCGAGAGATCTTTATAAATATTGTTGTTCGGTTGCATATTTATCTGAAAGATATTTTGGGTGAAGTGACAAACTGTTAATGGATTTGGCTTGAAAAATGAAAGTTGTTGGAGCACTGGAAGGTGTCTGTCCGATCGAAAGAGAGAGGATGATGGCACTTGCCAGGGCCCAAGAGCTAATCAAGCTTAGGGCCCAATCATCGCACCTAAATCGCCTTTGATGACGTCCCACCAGTTTTCCACTTGAGGAAAGTAACAAGCTGCCATTAGCGAGGCGCCACACTAAATCGATTCGCATCAAACAAATCCCATTGAGATCGCTTTTCAGCTGCTAACCACAAACAAATAAAATAAGTGAACGCTAATCACACACTGAGAGGAGGAGGCCCAATTGGGGTCTGGGGCTCTGGCTCTGGGTCTGCCCCACCATTACTTACTTCTTTCTCAATTGTATTTATTTTCGTTGGACGCCATGCGGTCTGATTTAATTTGATTTGTTTTGCTTCCAACTGGATTTCGACTGATTGAGAATTAAATCAATTTCGCTTTTGAATGAGAGGAAAATTGTTCAAAGGGTGAATGGAACCAGAGTGTCATGCCTGATTGGGCAGAGGAGTAAATGGAAATGGAGTAACAGGGCTGCCCAGGAAACGAATGCAAAATGTAGTTGAAATTGTGATACAACTTTGATTATGAAATAAAGTTCCTGTCTCTGTTCACTTGAGTTTCTACAGTCTGTGTGACCTACATCGAAGCACAAGTAGAACGTCGCGATTTTGGCTGCGGAAAAAGTTGAAGACAAGAATAGCGGATCCCCCGCAGACTCGGGGTCGCCTTCCGCTTTCGATGGCTGCTCATCACTCTTCCGACTACTCAATTATTAAGTCATTAACATGCACTGTGATCTCTCCCAAACAGAGCGCTTGTTCCGCACAATTTAATGGTTACGATCGGTGGCATTATCCGAGGAAACAATAATTTCACATGCCAATTGCGGGCAAACCTTTATGCCAAATGACGCACAGCATCTGTCAGACGGATCAAAAAGGGAAAAGAAAGTAAAAGGGCTCGGCGACATAACTCATCGCCTGTTATTGACAGGCCACCGAGTGGCTACTCTTCTTTGAGGTCATTAAAAGTAGCTTGGATTTCCCGAAAAGAGCAATGCCAGCTAATGTTCAAGCAAAATCGGTTTTCTCATGGTTATTGTTGCTTAATTACAAATTACGACAAATAGGAATGGGAGTTGGAGCCTGATGAATGCCGCAATTAGATGAGGTATGTGCAGTAAATATATCAAGGCAGTTTTCACCCACCATGCAGCAGTACCCAAGCAGTACCAAGTGCAGCAAGTGGCAACTTCCGCATTACACATACGCCACGTGAAACGGGTTTGGCGGCGGTGGCAGCCTCAGCTGCATCTTCTTTCTCGCCATAACTCAACACGAATATGGCCAAAAGTCAAACGATCCTCGTCGAAGCTTCGCTTACCCCACACGTAATGCAATAGCCAAGCCCAAAGATCTGGCCCGACCAGGGACCGGGATCGTCCCGAGCCTCCGACTCTCTGAGCCTCCCGAGGCAGTTCAAGCTGGGCAACCCGTTATTGCCCGATGCTGTTGCACTTTCGTTTTTCTTATTGTGGCTCTCTGCCTTTTGTCTGGGTGAAAAGTTTATTGCGCGAAAATGAAGAAGCGTTTGTTGCTGGCACACAGTTCCAAAACAAGATTTCAAATAGCCCGCTGCTGCCGCTGATGATGATGATGCTGTGGATGATGATAGTGGTGTGGCACTAGGCAGCCAACAGCAACTGCAATGGCATCTGCAACTGCTGGTGGGGCTGCTGGTTGGGTCTGGTTCGGTCTGGTTTGGTCTGCCGAGAGATGTTGCAAGCCGACGACGAGTTGCATAATTTGTGTGTTTTCCTCTTGGCTGTCTGGTGGGAGTCAAAGTTTTGTGGGGTTCGTTCGCCGTGCCTGAAACAAACTACAAAACTTGTCCATTGATTTGCACTTTATTTATGTTTTGGGCGTAGAAAATTTGCAAAGAAATTATTTAATGCTGGTGGTAAAATTGTGTAAAAATTAACTGAAATTCGGGTTGGGCCTTGGAATAAGTCAAGGATTATGGAAGTTATCCAATGGGAATTGTAATAAAAGGAAATATTATGGTGAGGCTTCGCTTTGGAGGAGTTAAATCACTCAAGAGGAGATACTCTGGTTAGTACCCGTCAGGTCCAAACACGCCTCCCAGCTCGCAACAAGCTGCAACCCACTTCACACTCT